CCCCCCAGCTGGAACGTTCAGCGCCCTCGAAGTTTAGCGCGGATCCCGCCTTTGTCATGAAATTGTCTGGCACGCAGGAGATGCCGCAAATACATGTCTCCTCCGATCTTGAATCTGGGCCGGGGCGGTTTCATCACCTCTCTCATGATCATCGCACGCTGGCCTCGCCGAAAGATCACCTGCCACCGAGGCCGCGGGTGGAACCGGTTTGCTCAACGCGGAAGTGGCATCCAGAGCCGCAGCAGCAGAGCTACCGGGCCCAGGGGCAGCGCCGCGGCAATCGGCTTCCAGCGCTGCACGCCAGGCGCCGCCACACCATGGAGACGGCGAAGATCGGCGGCGGCCAGGCGCGACGCCGGACAGCCCCGCGGAAACGGCAGCGGCGGAGACAAAGGACGACGAAGAGGGGGGGTGCGGGGGCGATCGGCAGGACGCACGCGCCAACAATGAGCTCGACGCGCAAAAATAGCCGTGCAATTCCCTGCCAACTTGCAATATATCCCACGCGCGCCCACATGACCACGCGCGCCATCGCATCTGCGTTCAAGGCCACTCGCGACGACATTCGACGCGGATACAATCGCTCGAAGCATATTCTTGAAATCCCCCCGTCGGTCTTCAATCCATACGAACATCCGCTCACTTGGGATGTGTAAAAGCTATGCGTCTTAAAGAGCAAGCGAACTACTGGACTCATCGAATATTGATATCCAGAGGGCCATTCGACGCAAACGACACCCCCGCGCTTCATCACAGCTCCGGCTATTTCGCGGAAGCACCCAATCAACAAACGAAATGTCGTTCTCATTCCCCGCAGACCTCTCAAAGACCTATGATCCCCTCTGCTGAAATCCGCGGACTCGCCCAGGCGTTGGCATGGAGGTCAACCCGCACAAGATGTAGAGGCCCATGAGAAAATCGATTGGCCCGCGATTTCTTGAATATATTCGAGCGCCTTGTCTTCTCCCGCAACCGCGGTCATATCCTCTTTCTCCGACCCTGACATTGACAACGAAGTTCTTGAGATCACTGAGTTGACCTTGCTCGCTGCAGCAAAACAAATAAGAATAATAAAACTACTAATAACAACCGTATGTCATTGCGGTTGGCTTTGGAGCAACAACAACCGCGATTTGTCCGGCCCCTTCTTCGAAACCATCCCGAAACGCGGGCATGTGCCACTGTTCGCGCCCAAGTTGCCGCGCCTGCTCGCCCGCGGTTCAACCGCGAACGACAGGCCCGGCAAACTCCCCCCCCCACGTCTGAACCAGGGGCGGGTTTCGAATTATCTCAGGCGACCAGTGCGTCGTCAGTGGTCATACCAGCCACGAGCCCTGGCCCCTTTCTTTGATAGCGCCAGAGCGAGGCATAATAACTGGCTTTCCGATAACAAGCTTGCCCTTGCCATCCCTGTTTTGCCAAATCATTCTCTTGCTCAGCACAAACGGACCAGGCCGCACAGCCGCCTCGGGGCCGATGAAACGCTTCAGAACCCCCCTGGTTTTACGGGAATCCCGTCAGAAAACATAAATGAAAGATGGCATTGGAACTTGCATGCCTTCCAAAATTCCGGGGTAACAATGTTGACGAGGCACAAGACCTCAACCCGAACTGGCGGGTCAGTAAAACGCTCAGCCCTGACCCCTCACATTGCAATTATACGACTCCACGGGAAAATGGTCAGAGACGGCGGCGGCATCAACACGATGCGTCCCGGAAGATGGAGGAGCTTTTGAGATCCCCCCGCTTTTTTGACCTTGCATGCAGCTTGGCTGTGTTCAAAGAACATGCACTTGATGCACTTGGGCACCCGTTGTAGGAGTAATTCCCGCAGCAAGAGCGCCGCAAGCAACTCAATACGTAATGCAAGATCTGCCGCAACAACCTCGTCCTCCAATATCAAATGGGCACGCAAGTTTGCCGACAAAAAGCCATACTTTGATTGGCTCATGACTCGCGCTGGCGCTACGGTGAGTGCGCAAGTCGCTAGGAAGGCCGGCATCAGAGCATTGCCGGATAGACGCATCATGTAACTTATCTTCAACCCATGACACAATACAGTAGTTCGCTTGGAAAGTATGTAACAAACGATACGAAACAAATCCATGCCCTGTTGTTCGGTCCACGGATGAGAAACATCCCTCAGCAAGTCGCGTCGCGCCACTCGCGCACCGCAAAGGACTGCCATCCAGACTTTCGCAGCAATCGGTTGCAACACACAGGGCAACGCGGGAATAACTGGGAAATCAGAGGCAAAATCACCGGTTAAACCGGTAACCTTAGCCTCTTTGTCTGGGGGTTCCACACTAGCGCTTATGTCAAGCACCGATACAAGAGCCTCCTCGGCCGGTGGAATAAGCCCCCACCCCCCCTAGGGCCCCGTGGTCCATCTTCAAAGTCTACAAGCTCGGGTCCACAGGGGGCACCAGCAAGAGGGTATGTGCTGGGATCTGTATCAGTCAGCTGTGCATAACACAGGATTCACAGAAGCCTGCCATGTCGCATTCAATGACCTGGACCTCCTTCTTCTATCTCAGCTGATATGGTTGCGGCGGTTGCATCGCCAGAAGCCCCCCCGGTTCGACCTCATCACCGCTCGATTCCCGCTCGATTCCCCCCCGAATCGTCTACAAGGATCTTCTTCGCTAGGGGGAGGAGGATCAAGAACAGCAGGAAGCTTTCTATGCCATCCTATGGTCTTTCTGTAAACGCGATGTTCGCATCCGAAGCACCGTCCAAGCGTGGTCGACGGGTATACTTCAATGCCTTCTGGACACCACGGAAAAGGTTTTTGAATCATTTCGCCAACGTTGATCTACTTTCGCCGGTTATACCTACTGTCATGCTATGAGCCCTAAAACTTTGAAATCGCCCGCGTTGGTAATCAAAAACAATTGGATTTCATCATGATAGCAACAACTACGCCGTGGACTAAACTGAATAAAACCGCGACAGAAAACATGGCCCTCAAAATGCTGCTCCCAGCACCCCCCTGAATCAGGGTGACCATAAAATCAAAGGATCAAGGGACAAAAGGGGGTCTCATTCCAGGCCACGATGCCGGCCACTCCTCACGTGGACGAGAAGTCCATGTGGTTGTTCCTCCAAGCTTCGATTACGCATACGCTTGCTTCGCATCGGCCTGTTGAATGGCGTGGCCCTCAAACAGTCCACGCGCGTCTGCCACTTTACTGGCCTGCATCGTCACTGGGATACTAGATTGAAGGAAGATGCTTTCTTTTTTTAAAGGAAAAAACTGAATGCAAAAAACAGACAATGTAGTTTGGCCCCAGACATCGGACCCGTCGAAAACAACACGTCTTTCGTGCTTGCGGCGATCCTTGGGTCCTTCAGGAAGCTCGGAGTTCTGTTCTACTACAATCGCAAACAGACACACAACATGTGCTATCTTACCCTTCAACTGGGCAACAAAGTCACTATACTGACTCCGTGCTCGTTCCACGTGCCAATCACTCGAAGCCGATCCCACTCCACTCTGAGAGCCTCTTGTGCTTTTCATGTTACCATAGCCTCATATTTTGGGGCGGAACGTGCCACGGCGGCGTCAAGCTTCTTGTCGGATGAAATGTCGGGAACCTCAGAATGATAATCAATGCCATGTATGTGATCCGAAAACGGGTCAAGGCAAAACTGAACATCAAGTCGCTCATTCTCCTTATGGGGCTGAACAACGTCATTCGCTGACTGTCAAGGCATTCTGAGCACGCTACGCCGCGAAGCAGCGGCTGCGCGGTTCTCAACCACACCTGCTCCGCCCAAAGTCGGTACTGTACGATGGGAAGAGAGACATCAAAGTTAGACATGCAACGTCCCCGTCCCTAAGTATCGCTCCCCCATGCGAGGTCTGTCGCCACCAAATGATTTCGTCATCTGGGCCGAGGTCGGAATCGGTGTCGGAGATCTCTCCTGGCACTGCTGGCTCCTCCTCCTCCTCCACCATCCTCCACCATCCTCCTCCTCCTCCTCCACCTCTTACTCCTTTCCATCAACAACAACAACAATAACATCATCATCATCATCATCATCATCATCATCATCATCATCACCATCATCATCATCCCCCGCCTCATCATCATCAGCATCGTCATCATCATCATCATCATCATCAACATCAGCAGCAGCATCATCCTAATCTGCATCAATAGCATCATCATCAGCAGCAGCAGCAGCAGCATCGGCATCGTCATCATCATCAGCATCATCATCATCAGTGTATCATCATCGCTATCATCTTCCTGACCATCATCATCATTATAAACAACAGCAGCATCATAACCACCATTATCATCATCATCATCATCATCATCAACATCATCATCATCATCATCAACAGCATCATCATCATCATCATCAAAATCAGCATCGTCATCATCATCATCATCAGCAGCAGCATCATCATCATCATCAGCATCATCATCATCATCATCATTATCATCATCGCTATCAGATTCATAACCATCCTCATCATCACCATCATCAGCATCATAATTAGCATCGTCGCCATCATCTTCGTCATCATCATCACCATCATCATCATCAAAATCAGCTTCGTCGTCATCATCATCATCACCATCACCATCATCACCATCATCATCAGAATCGGCATCATCAAAATCGTCAACATCGTCATCAGCATCATCATCATCATCATCATCATCGGCAGCATCGTCATCATCATTATCACCATCGCCATCGTCTTCATAACCATCATCATGATAACCACCATCATCATCATCACAATCAGCATCGTCATCATCATCATCGTCGTCATCATCATCATCCAAATCAGCATCGTCATCATCGTGATCGTCATCATCATCATCATTATCATCATTATCATCATCATCATCATCATCATCATCATGATCATGATCATCATCATCATCATCATCATCATCATCATCATCATCATCATCATCATCATCATCATCATCATCATCATCATCATCATCATCATCATCATCATCCCCCCTCCGATCCGGGGCGGTGCTGAGGGGCCCTGCCGCTGGGGCCCTGCCCAGCGGGCGTAGGCCGCGCGCCCAGGGGGCCCCCCAGGGAGGTGCGGAGGCGCCCGCCTGTCCTCCCTGTAGTGCATGTCGCGCCGGGCCTCAGACTCCGCCGTGGCCGCGCTGGCGAGCACGTCGAAGTCTGCGGCCGCGGGGAGGACGAGGAGGAGGAAGAGGAGCAGGAGGAGGAGGAGGAAGAGGAGGAAGAGGAGCAGGAGGAGGAGGAGGAGGAAGAGGAGCAGGAGGAGGAGGAGGAGGAGAAGGAGGAGGAGCAGGAGGAGGAGGAGCAGGAGCAGGAGCAGGAGGGAGAAGATGAACGACCGAGAGACATAGCAGGGGGCCCAAAACTGAAGACCCATCTCGGTTAGGTTGGCGGCGCGCAGAGGCGGGTAGGGGGAGAGGGGAAGACTTCTTGAGGGCGCTTCTCAGAAGGCGCAGGCCTCCCATCTATAGAGAAGGTCCGCGCCTTCTAAGAAGCATGGGAGCTTCTAAGCCAGCCTTATCAAAGGGCTCGGAGGCCTCTGGCCCTCTGACAGGCTTTCTAAGCCTTCCCCGAAGACCGAGAAAACTTCTCAGAATGTGCGAGGGCTTCTGAGCAGACCCGCCGCCCTCTGAGGGAGCCTGCTCCTGCTCACTTCTTCCTTGGGCCGCCGATCTTCGTGAAAACGATTATTAAAAGCTATGAAGCCCGATTTGGGGGCCCTTAGGCCAGATGAAGCCAGATCAATCTCGGGATTAAATTGGACGAAGCCAGATTAGGCGGGATTGAACGGAATTCAACGGGATTATGCCAGATTTGGCCGGTTTTCACCACGGATCTACCAGCGCCGACTCTGAACTTAACCTCCCAGGAGTTGCATCCTCAGCAGGGGGGTCGCAGAACGAACCCTACGGAAGGTGTTTCGCAAATTTTCTGACCCTATAGGGGCTGTGGGAAACTGTCCAGGACTGGAAGGAGTGGAAGTACTGGCCGCAATAACGTTGACTGGCTTCTCTGTGGAGGATCGACGATCCAAAAAACGTGTGTTAGCGCCAACGTGCGCTTGTCCACCGAGGCCCTTCGATACGACGCAGGCGGTGCAGTGGGAGCCAGCACATACCGCGTGCTGTGGGCGGAGTTGGGCGGGGTGGACACTCCTCGGGATAGCACACGTCCTGAGTCCTGAGGATCATTGAGAGGAGCAGGAGGGGAGAAGGAGAAGCGGTGGGCCCTGGGACATCCGAAAGCCTCTGGGAGGCCTTATGGGGGGAGGGAGAGGGGTCTCGAAGAAAGAGTGATGAGTGGGAGGGGATGAACGGCAGGAGGAAAAGGGCAAGAGCTATACAGAGTACAGCTACACTGAACGACGGTGGAAGTCGACGTGCTTTTTGCGGCCAGCCCGAGCAGCGGTCTGGGGTAGTGCGTTGGGACTTGATTGTCGCGCATTGACGAAGTGTGTCGACCATTACGCCCGCTCAGATTCAAACTCGAAGCCCAATGGTATCACCACTGAGCCCAGGTGTCGAAGAATTGGCTCGACGCTTGAACGAAATTGACAGACGGATTTTCCGGCACTCGATGTTCATTCTACTCTGGCTCGACACACTGGCTTAGATCGAATCGTCAATCTTGAGCTGGGAAAAAGCTGTCCACTTGGGAACTCAGACTTTCCAGCAGATTCGCCCAGCCTAGAACGAAAGGTACTGAGCTGTAGTTCCCGTTGGACCGTCCAGACTTTTGAAAACGAAGGTTGCACAAGACAAGCTTTCACACTCCCTACCTCCGACCTGCAGGACGCACAGTATCACATAACAGCGCACTCGAGGACACGGCATACCACAAAGCATAAGAAATCGTCGCACTGAGGAATCATATCGTGAATCCGCCTGGGCGCCTACCCGCCAGCCTGCCCGCAAACCACCCATCCGCTCACCTGGCGCAGCCGCTCTCGTACCCACCGACATGCCCTGCCCGAATAACCGCGCGCGTCGCCAAATCGCTCATCTGGCCACTCGGTCACCCACCCGCTTCATCCCTCACTCCCTCCCCCACTCGCTCGCCCACCCACGCTTGCTATCACTCCCGTCGACCTGCTCGCTCGAGCGTCTGCATCAGCAGATGTGCTGCGCCGGTGGAGCCGTTGCCCGCGAAGATCACGGCGTCCTCCCCGCGGCTCGCCCGAGGAAGCGAGAGCATGAGAAGGCGGCGCGCCCCCCTGGCTTCAGACCACCATCAAAACACCCATGAGCGTTTCCGACCGGACCACCGCTTGTCCTGATGATTACCCCATCCACCTCGCCCGTCCCATCCCATGTCTTTGTGGTTCGGCTGAAAGCGGGAGCTCCCGCCTGAGGCGGCTTGAGAGGAGCGGGGTACTGTTCGAGATGTGCAGGCTGTGCCGAGAGATAATGATACTGGGTGGGCACGGGGGGGATGCCCATGCGTGAGGAGGGATGATGATGGGAGCAGGAGGCTTGCCGTCGAAAAGGCGAAGGAGAACAGGAGATGAGCAAAGATGGAATGGAAGCCAGCAGAGTGTGAAAACTTATGGCAGCCACAAACCTCGAGGACAGGGTATATAGGTGAAGGAAGGCGCAGCCCCTGCCTGGTACGCGTGGCCAGGCAGGCCCGCGAGCCCGAAGACGAGCCACCCCTACCAGGGCACAGACCACACGTTCCACCTCACCCTCTCGACAATGAACATCTTCAGCGGCCAAGGAAAACTTTCAGCACAGTCGCCGCGACAAGAAAACACTTCGGCAGCGGGCATCGCTGACGAAACAGAGTCGAGCGCCTCAGACCCAGCCCCCCGCGGAGGGCGTGTCAGGGGGGGGCCAGCTCAGGGGGCGAAACATCGACCTGGAATCGGCGATACATCACGGACAGATCGGCAACATGCTCCGAAAGCGAATCCGCATGGTCCTGGGCGGGATGGGCTATCAGGGCCCTCTCGGCGATGGATGAGCAGTTGGGGGTCGGTGCATCCCGCCAGAGCCTATCCTCGTCCATGGTGGTTTTCGGGCCAAAACTCGGGCCTCTGGCGGCCGTTCGGGACGATCTGGGCACCCCAGGAGGAACGATCTGCAGCTGCTGGAGAGCATCCCGAAACTGGAAAGCCACCGAGGTCCGACGAAAACGCCCGAAAGCCTCGAACGTCGAGCCTGTAGATGCCCCCCTCACGTTACCCCTGACTCCTCCAGTAGCGAACACCGCTGACGGGACAGGGAGTCGGACGCCTCGGGCCCAGACCCCCACGGCTGGCGTCCTCGTGCGAGGCGTTGAGGTGGTGCCTGATGACCTCCCGCGCCTCGGCACCACATGGCGGCGCGCAGAGTGGGGAAGGGGAAGGCTTCTTAGAAGGAGGCTGCTTCTTAGAAGGCGCGGGCCTTACATCTGTAGACAAGGCGGGCGCCTTCTAAGAAGCAGGGTGTTTCTGAGACGTCTTCCCCTCCTCCTGCACCCCCTCTAAGCGTAGCCGAACCACCGGCGTCGCTGGGGCTTGCCCACAGGCAAGCGTCCTCAGGCTTCCGTTTCCTCCTCCTCCTCCTCCTCCTCCTCCTCATCCTCCTCCTCATCCTCCTCATCCTCATCATCCTCCTCCTCCTCCTCATCCTCATCCAACTTCTCATGCTCCTGCTCCTGCTCCTGCTCCTGCTCCT